TTTCAAGTGCACAAATCTCTTCCTCGATTCATTCCACAAATCTAATGGATCTTTCACCGTCGAATATTCAAACTGTAGAGGAATGTCCAAATGATGACGGATGAAAATAATAGTCTTAGCCCGATCTTGGCTTGTAGTCGTATTTTCATTGGCAATTGTATGAACAAGGCCCATTGAAACCAAATGCATTTCTACATCTAAGGACCAAGTTAGAAATTATTGTCGGTAAGAGACAGAGGTTTAAAAGAAAATTTTGCAAGGTTTTCCATAATTTAGAAAATAGGTAATATATATAGTATAAAAATAAAACTTACCAAAAATAAAATAGACAAGAACCTCGTGCTGATAACGTGTTATATAATAAATAATATAATATGTGTGTACGTGTATACACGGGTGTGTGTGTAAGTTTATATATATATGTATATGAATATATAGGTATAGAGAAATAGAATAATTAATGCAGAGAGAGAGAATGGAGAATGGATTGTGGGTGTCATTTATTGAATGAACATAAGCCTCTATTTATAGGCAAATTGAAGTACATTAAAGGCCACGCAGTATCCACACAATATATATATATGTGTGTATACTTCGTAGTGTACAAGTAGTTTAATTTTGGGAAGTTATAAATATCTAGCGCCGTACACAATGCAGTGTGTAGACTTGTCCAGACGTTCCCAACTGGTAGTTCGAAGTGCTGGTATACTGTTTTCTATCAGGTTTTATTTCGGTTCCTATATTCTTGAAATTGTGAACCTTTTTTCAGTTGGAACAAAGCAGTTTATTATTTTTTTAGTTTATTTTATTATTACTTTATAAAAATTACAGGTAAAATTGCTTATAATTTCCCTGTGGTTTCGAAATTCAGCGTAAAATCTCCATGTACTTTAAAAAATTGCATGGTACCTCCTTATACTTTAAAAAACGTTGCATGAAACCCCACCACCATGAAGCTTTCCTCGTGTGATAAGAAGATGATTTCCTATCTATATGTTTTGCATGACATGAGGGTTTTATGCAATATTTTTGAATGTATAAGTGAGCGTCATGCAATTTTTTAAAGTAAAATGGGGATTTATACTGAGTTTCGAAACCACAAAGTGGTTTCATGCAACATTTTTTAAAGTATAAAGGGACGTCATGCAATTTTTAAAGTAGAGGGGAAATTTACGCTGAATTTCGAAACCACAAAGGAGTTATGGGCATAAATTTTTATGAAAAAATAATATTCTTTTGTTATATTTGAACTAAAATTGATAAATTTTTATATTGAGACCATAATTAATGAATTTTTATATTAAAATTAATAGTGATTAATTTTTATTATACTGAAATTAAAATTAATTAATTTTGATTAAATTTGGACCAAAATTAATTTTCTCCTATTTTTACTTACTCTATTATTTTTCATTAACTTTTTAATAAGATTTTTCGTAATACTATTTTTATTTTTTTATTCACCTCATTTTTATATTAAAATGATATTATCTTTTAATATTTATTCTCAAATAAAATAGTACTTGTTGATGTATTTTTTCAACAATAAAAAGTAAAATTCGAAAATAGAAAATTATCTTCGAATTTGATATAATTGGTGCATGAGATTAGAAATCTCTAAACACTGTAGGATATATAAATAAAATAGGAAAATAAAAGTACGGACTGGAAAATAAAATAAAGTGGTGATCCCCAAAGGCAATTCTTTTGAATTTGATGTCGATTGAAGATGTTCTGTCAGTTGTTGACCCCAATCCTTAAATATTCCTCAGAAGAGACGTTTCGGAACCGTCGCCAGCAACCGCCGTCAACCGCCCACAACAAAACATTTTGAAGCGTCGTCTGGTCGATTATGGCAACCGTCTCGCCAACCGCATAACCCAACCGACCAATCCAGAGACTAACTGATCGCTAGACCAAACGAATCCTTGACCGCCCCACCAAGCGACCACCATCTGGTCTCTTGTCCGACCTCGTATCGTCCGTCTCACTCTTCTTCGCCCGACCTCACTTGGTCCGACCTGCGTAATATCCGTCCTTCTTCGCCCGACTTTCTCTTTCGACCGACCGCCGTATCAGCCGTCCTTCTTCGCCCGACTTTCTCTTTCGACCGACCGCCGTATCAGCCGTCCTTCTTCGCCCGACTTTCTCTTTCAACCGACTGCCGTATCAGCCGTCCTTCTTCGCCCGACCTCAATTGGTCCGACCGCGGGCCAACCAACTACGGACCATCCGACCGGACCAACCGACTGCGAACCATCCGACAGCGAACCAACCGACCGGCTCTGTTTGACTTATCTCCTTAGATGGACAACTGGTTTCAACAGACTATCCTCTTTCGACCGAGGACCAACCGACCCGCCTGTCCGACCGCGGACCTTCTGACCTGCTTATCCGACTGCGGACCAACCGACCGGATCAACCGACCGCGGACCAACCGACCTGAGTGCATATTTTCTCATTTTCCGCCCGACTTCGTGTCCTAACTTCCTTTAAGATCATATTATTATTATTATTATTATTATTATTATTATTATTATTATTATTATTATTATTATTATTATTTTTGTGCGTAACAATACTATAATTTTTGTAGACGAACAAAATATCATGAATTATTTGATATATTTATATAGTAAATGTTAATGAATATATATATATATAATATTTAGTATGATTATTAAACTACTAAAATATATTTATTAATAAAATATTAGCAAAATAACATAAAATTCACATATGATTTTCTGAATTTGCTGAAAATTCTATATAGTTCTAAAATTCCATAAAAGCTACTTATGGTTTCTAAAATGTTGCACACTCGTCCTTTTACTAAATATCATATCTTTAAATTTTACCACAAAAGGACAGTTATGCCTCTATTTGTATTTTTTTACTTAGGTGTGCTTGTTTGGGGGTTTGAATTTTTGAGTTGAGATTTAAATAGTAAAAATTTTGAATTTAAATAGTTGTATGATGTGATATAAATAGGTATTGATGTGATGTTTTGAATGTAAAATTGATTTTTAGTGTAATATAAAAAATGAATAATATGTGTTTGATTTGATATTTTTTTAGGGAAAAATGGGATGAATAGTGGATTTAAAATCCAATCCCCATCCCCCAAACAAACACACTTGGGATCATTTATTGACTGACTAGCTCTCCATCTCTCTTCGTTCTCCCAAAGTTCCAAAATTTTGCCCACACTGGCAGTTGCTTGTTGTTCCTCTTCATATATCTGGAAAGCCTCGTTCCTTATAGTCAGTCTGATAACATAAGCCAGTTGCCTAGAAAATTTGTATACTATGTCTTAAATTCCGGCTTGAATGCAATGATTTACCTCCCTACGTACCATCTCCACCATTGTTTGAGCAGATGATGCTTCCTCATCCCTCCCTAATCTAGAAGTACGAGCTTCCACTAGGGTGAACCGGTGTTCCTCCTACAGTTTTACTTGTAACCGCATTTAGGTCTGATTTTTTATTCTGATTTGTCATGTTTATCACCTTACCACTACGAAGTTTCATACACGAACCCGACTTGGTCCCGCTCGGCGTGCCAATTGTTGGAGCCTAAAATTCGGATACTCCAAAATCACGAGACACATGAACAATAAGATCATCTAAATAGGCAAATATAAAGTTAGCGAAGATGATAAACCTGTATGACCACATGAAAGTCGTTAGAAATCGGATGCGTTAAGTGTTCATGTTATATGCGATATTCGATTGATTTTGATTGGATTCTGCCTAATTTTGGTGCGTATTATTTATTTCTGACATGCAGGGAAGAAAAGACAAATTTAGTGAATTTGGAGAAAAATAGAAGAAAAAAATCAGCATTGGACAATCAAGTTAGTCATGACACACCCTCTTGACACGAGAATTTAATTAAAGGCCCAAAAGCCCAGCTACAAAATAATTAGGGCAAAAATTAAATAAAAATGGAAGATCACACGCAGAAGAGGAGAGAACGGCCAGAGCAGATACGTACAAGAGCAGGAGACTGACGGAATCATAGATCGCGCAGGAGCAAATCGACAAAGAAGATTTCCCCTCCTACTATGACTTTATCTTTCTCTATTGTTCTTTGTTATTTGATTATAGAGTAGATATTTTGCTGGTTTGCGGGATGATAATGTTTTGGTTCTTTTGTTTTGGAGATTCTTAAATTTATTTATAAAAGTTCTTTTTTATTATCAATATTTGTCTAATTCTGATAATAACGTTTGTAATTGTTAGAGTGATTGAATATTTTGGTACCGATATTTGAATTAGTCTGATAATCTAAAGTCAATTCAGGTAGGATATCCGTAATTGTATTTGCACTTGAATAGATGACAACCGGGTTGAATAGTTCCTTCCCGGGGGTTAGACAATCAAATCTAATTGTTCTTCTTAGGTAATAATTGTTTTGAATTGGATTTATCTAGATTATAATGCGATTAGACAATATTTCTTATGGGTGCACCTAGGTTTTATTTGCTTAATTAGGGGTAGTTTACGGTCGTACCTTAATTACCTACACTGTAAGGAAAAATTGGTTGTCAGACATTGTTGATAACTATAACCAATTTATTGATACTTTAATAAGAACTAACTTTATTGAATTAATGATAAAACACAACTGTCATAACTGCATCATCCCTTGAGCTAGACATTCCCTTAATAGCTAGTTCTCCGTTAATTTAATTGTTTTGTTATTTTATCTTCATTAGTTAATAAAAGAAAATTCCCTTCTTTTTGTTTACTGCAATAGAACGCGGAAGAGTGAATCACACAATCCCTGTGGAAATGATCACTTCCCATGTATTACATTAAATTGTTATCACGGAATAGGTGAACGATTTGATTGACCGCGTGACAGGTCAATTTTTGGCGCCGTTTCCGGGGATTGGCGTTTTGTTTTACTCTTTTATATTATTTTAATTTATCCTCTTGTTTATGCTTTGTTCTCGTACAGGTGAACTGATATTTAATCTTGTGATTGAAAAGGCTGAGCGAAAGCTGCGAAAGGAAGCCAAGCAATGAAAAGTTGCTCAAGTTGCAAAGCTGGCAGAATCTTTAAACCACCTCAAAATCTCTTGCTTTAGCGACTCTGAAAGTGATCAAGAGACTGTCATGGTTGAGGATACCCGCACTTTAAGGAAGTTGGCTGCTCCCAACTTGACACAGCAGCCTTTATGCATTAACTTTCCAACACTCAATAACACTATTGCTTTTGAACTGAAATATGGCTTAATTTATTTATTGCCTTCTTTTCATGGACTTGCAAGTGAAGAACCTCACAAACACTTGCAAGAGGTCGACGTGGTGTGCTCCAGCATGAAACCACCAGGTGTTACTGACGAACAAATCAAACTCAGAGCCTTCCTATTCTCGCTCAAAGATGCTTCAAAGGATTGGCTCTACTATCTCCCACCTGGAAGCATTGACACGTGGAATGACATGAAAAAGAAATTTTTGGAGAAGTACTTTCCAGCTTCCAGAGCTGCGATTCTAAGGAAGGAAATATGTGGCATCAAACAAAAATCAGGTGAAATGCTCCATGAATATTGGGAGCGATTTAATAAGCTTATCATTAAATGTCCACAACATTAAATTCCCCCTCAATTGTTGATTCAATATTTTTATGATGGTTTGTCATTGATGGACAGGAACATCATCGATGTTGCAAGTGGTGGATCTCTAGTAAATAAGATGCCAGCACAAGCTTGGGATTTTATTGCGAGAATGGTTGAAAACACGCAGCAATTTGGTTTGAAGGATGTTGGACAGACGAGCGGAAACAGTAACGACCACTATATCCAATCGATGCAGCAACAACTTTATGAGTTGACGAGCTTTGTTCACAAGATGGTCGTAGAAAAATCTAACTCGAGTGTCCAGGTCAAAGCGTGTGGAATATGCACAAGTGCAAGCCACCCTACGGATGCATGCCCGACCCTCCAAGAAGGCTATGCAGTAGATGTAAACGCTGCAAACTATGGTGTTAATGGACCTCCAGTGTACAACCCGTACTCCAACACCTACATTCCTAGCTAGAGAGATCATCCGAACATGCGTTATGGAAACGCACAGCAGAGTAATGCTCCTCACCCATTCGGAGCTACGCAGCATATACAACAACCTCGTTTCTATGAGAAACAGCCGCCCCAAGCACCCACAAGCAACTCCAGTCCGTCTTTGGAAGACTTGGTGAAGTCTATGGATACCACTACCTTGCAGTTCCAACAAGAGACAAAAAAGTTCCAACAAAAGATGAGATCGACTGTTGACAAATTAAAAGGTCAGATCAATCAAGTGTCAGAGGAGGTGAGACAGCTACATGAAAGAGGAAAGTGGCCCGCTCAGCCTAAGCCAAATCCAGCAAATGTCAGCGCCATAACTATTTGCAGTGACACGATGATTGAATGTTCTTCCCGGCCTAATCCAAAGAATACGAGTGTTATAACCCTTCGTAGAGGAAAGGAATTGGAAGGTCCACCTCCTATCTCAAAGGAACAGAATGAGGTTCAGATTGAGATGAAAATTGAAAAAGAAGCTGAACTTCACGAAAAGGTACCTTCTAACTCTGTTCCTCCTACTGAAGCTAAATCAGCTCATTTTCCTGACAGGTTGAAGAAACCACAAAAGGCAAACAAACGAAAAGAGATGATGGAAATATTCAAGAGTGTGGAACTTTATATCCCGCTCCTGGAAGCTATCAACCAAATCCCCAAGTATGCAAATTTTTTTAAAGAACTGTGCACCAATAAGAGAAAATTTCGAGGGGATGAGTACATTATAGCAGGTGAGAACGTTTTTGTTGTTCTCAAAAGAAATGTACCACCTAAAACAGGTGATCCAGGTAAGTTTTCTATCCTTTGTAAGATTGGAAAAACTAAGATAACTAAGGCTATGCTAGATCTAGGAGCTGCTATTAATGTCATGCCACGATCAATATACGACTCTTTAAATCTAGGGCCTCTAAAAGAAACAAGAATTATTATTCAACTTGCTGATCGAACCAATTCTTATCCTGATGGTATGATAGAAGATGTACTAGTTTAAGTGAATGACTTAATTTTTCCTGTTGATTTTTATATTCTGAATATGCATGATGCACATTGCTTTAATACACCGCCTCTTTTGTTAGAAAGACCTTTTATGTGCACTGCAGAAACAAAGATAGATGTTAAAAAGGGCACACTCAGCTTGGAGTTTGATGGAGAAGAATTTCATTTCAATATTTTTAATCCCATGAAATGTCTTGTTGAATCTGAATCGTTATATGCAATTAATGTTATTAATTATGTGGTGCAGGAAAATTATGAAGTTGGTAATGAGAATAAACGAAAAGTTGTGTTGACAAAACAATTAGAGAAAAGACCAACTGATGAGATGACAAAGAGTAAGAGAAAAAAAAAAAGAATTTTCGAAAAGTTGAGATGGATTCCCAAGGGATCACCATTGTTGGCCGCGAAAAAGTGCCATAAGAAGAATCAAAATTTTAAGGCGAAGAAAAAGTATGTGGCCAATAGACAACGCTTCAAATTATACCACAAGAAACCCTCACTTGATCCTACGGCACCCGTTGCCGATTTTAATGTTCAGAATTGATGCGAGACGAAGTCTAGTTCAAAGACTATAAGGAAAAGCGCTTTTTGGGAGACAACCTAAATCATTTAATTTTTTTCTTTAATTTTATTTATTTTTATTGTTTATTAGATGGTTTTGTTTGGTTTGGTGCAGGTCTTTTGAAAAATAATTGCTGGTTTTTTGCGAAGGCACGTCACTTTTCCAAAAAAAAAAAAAAAAATCAGATAAGAGGTGACTTTTAGTTATGGTCATGACTAATTGGCACCTTGCTATTTTTTTTCACCCAACCTTTCTTACCCAACCAATTTCCAAAATAAGAGATAGTATTTAGCGGTGACATGACTAAATACTACATATCACACTACCTCTTCCCTATCCAATTTTTACCCTAAATCCCAAAATGAAAAAAAATAAAATAAAACAAAACTCCTGATCTCTCTCTCTCTTTCCCTCACTCTCTCGCTCAGACCTCCCCCTTCTTCCCCCCTCCGCCGAACCAGACTCCTTTGTCGCCTTCTCCAGCCAGCCGACGCCAGACCACCTCAGGCGCGCCTCCGGCACGCCTTCGCCGATCTTCTTCTTCTCCCTCTTCTACCGTCCGCCTCCCTTCCCTCTTTCCAGACGCGATTCACCCTCCGCCAAACAAGATCAGTCGGATGCCGCGGAGCCAGCCGCGATCATCTTCTACTCCATGACGATCCTCCTCCGCGATCCTCTCTCTGCCCAGAAGAGAACGCCAGCTCCCCTCCAGAAGCCGCCGGTTCCCTTCCCCCCTTTCCGCCGCGCCAGACGTCGCCCCGCCGGTTCTCCTACCGGACATCTCCGAACCGGTTCATTCGTAGTATTACTTCTTTCCTTATTCCTAATACTGTCAATTTTGGGATTCTATGTTGAGAATTGGGTGATTACTTAGACTGCTCATTAAAACTTCCTGGTTGAATTTTAGTCCGTACTATATAGGAATTTGGTTTTGATATTGATGTCCAATTTTTCTTACATGATGATAATATTGGGGTGATAGAATTAATTTGTGCAATTTGATTCTGATTCTTTTGGATAGAATATTACATTCATGTTCTTGGGCTCTGGAACTGATCTTCTCTAAGTGATACATCTCAATACTTTCCGAATTTGGGTGTTTAGATATTGCCTTGATTTGGTTCTAGGCTACTGTGTTGCCGGTTATTTCGTTTTGCAGATTTCATGTTGCGTCTGGCTAATCGTTTTGCAATGATGAACTTCAAGCCTCTCTAAAAATGATGCACGATCAAATGAAGAGGCATTGGCAAAGCTACCAACTACTACACCCCCTACGGACTCCAGGGAAGTCCTTCTGCTTTCTTTACATTGAGGACAATGTATGCTTTAGGTATGGGGTGAGAGTTACGCAAAATATTTGGGCAAAATTTTCACTTTTTTGCTACTTTTTAATGTCTGATTTGCTGTCTTTTTGCATATTTTTTAGATTTGTCTGAAGTGAGTCAAAGGTGGTTTGTGTGATAGGTTTGCGTAGCATGACTAATGACATTTGATTGGTGATATGTTGAGTCAAGTCGACGTTTGAACTTTGAGATTTGAGCCAATGTTCCAAAAGTTACATTAGAAAATAAATTGCATATATTCAAGCTTTTGGAAATTTCTTTCATGTGTGATTTGTAGTGCTCAATTAGATGACCTAGAACTTGAGTGATTATGCATGTTGAACTTGCAACTATCGAGTCTTGCGTTTTGAAAATGATAAGGGCATTAGGTAACCCCGTAAAGTCTTTCTTTATTACCCAACACAATATATTCCCCTAGTTAGCCCATATGAGCTTTCTTAGCCTATTTTTTCTTTTATTAAACCTGTCTATTAGCCTCATACCCTTCTTTTGATTAAGCCTTCTTCGATTTGAATCCTATGTTAGAAAGAATTACTTTAAGTCCATATTGTGATGCACTTTATTTATTCGGCACTAGTTAGAAACGAAATTTGGGTACGAATAAGTCATAATATGAAGGAATAATTATGGGTAGTGAAAGTATATATATAAAGACAAAAGCAAAAAAAAATCAAAAAATCAAAAAAAAAAACAAAACAAAACAAAACAAAAAAAAAAATGAAAAAAAAAAAAGAAAAAGAAACAAAAAAATAAATAAATAATAAAATAATCATCTTGATGAAGTATTTTCATTTAATTTCATTATTAAAGTTTGGGTAGTGAATAGAGTAAGGATTTCATTGTTTATGCCGATTTATTTTTCATATGCTAGCATCGTGTTCTTATTGTATTCTTTTATGATATTCTTAGCCGTTGTTTATCATTGTTTTCCTACCCTTGACCATAAGCCCCGCTACAACCCTTATTGAAAGTCCTTTTGATTCTTTATGCTATATTCGAGTATCTTAAGTAAGGGATATTTGATTTTTACTCAAGCCTATAGGATAATCTTTTGTTGCACTACCTGAGTGTTGAGTCAATTATACACTCAATTTCTTCATAGAGCATGTGAGAATACACTTTATCCTGTGAGGTTGACTTGGCTTGATGTGTTGGATTTCGGATTGAATTGGTTGTGTTGGATTCTCTTGTCATACTGACTTGCCTGCGATTTCTTTGGCTTATTTTGAATCTATGCTTGAGGGCAAGCATGATCTAGGTATAGGGAGATTTGATAGTTAGAAATCGCATGCGTTAAGTGTTCATGTTATATGCGATATTCGATTGATTTTGATTGGATTCTACCTAATTTTGGTGTGTATTATTTATTTCTAACATGCAGGGAAGAAAAGACAAATTTGGTGAATTTGGAGAAAAATAAAAGAAAAAAATCAGCATTGGACAATCAAGTTAGTCATGACAATAACTACACCCTCTTGACATGAGAATTTAATTAAAGGCCCAAAAGCCCAACTGCAAAATAATTAGGGCAAAAATTAAATAAAAATGGAAGATCACACGCAGAAGAGGAGAGAACGGCCAGAGCATATACGCACAAGAGCAGGAGCAGGAGACTGACAGAATCATAGATTGCGCAGGAGCAAATCAACAGAGAAGATTTCCTCCCACTATGACTTTATCTTTCTCTATTGTTCTTTGTTATTTGATTATAGAGTAGATATTTTTCTGGTTTGAGAGATGATAATGTTTTGGTTCTTTTGTTTTGGAGATTCTTAATTTTGTTTATAAAAGTTATTTTTTATTATCAATATTTGTCTAATTCTGATAATAACGTTTGTAATTGTTAGATTGATTGAATATTTTGGTACCGATATTTGAATTAGTCTGATAATCTAAAGTCAATTCAGGTAGGATATCCGTAATTGTATTCACACTTCAATAGGTGACAACCGGATTGAATAGTTCCTTCCCGGGGATTAGACAATCAAATCTAATTGTTCCTCTTAGGTAATAATTGTTTTGAATTGGGTTTTTCTACATTAGAATGCGACTAGGCAATATTTCTTATGGGTGCACCTAGGTTTATTTTTTTAATTAGGGGTAGTTTACGGTCGTACCTTAATTACCTACACTGTAAAGAAAAATTGGTTGTCAGATCTTGTTGATAACTATAACCAATTTATTGATACTTTAATAAGAACTAACTTTATTGAATTAATGATAAAACACAAGTGTTATAACTGCATCATCCCTTGAACCAGACATCCCTTTAATAGCTAGTTCTCCGTTAATTTAATTGTTTTGTTATTTTATCTTCATTAGTTAATAAAAAAAAATAAAAAAAAATTCCCCCGTTTTTATTTACTGCAAAAGAACACGAAAGAGTGAATCACACAATCCCTGTGAAGACGATCTATATTAAATTGTGATCACGGAATATGTGAAATATTTGAGTGATCACGCGACAGGTCAATTTTTCGTATAATCCCAATATGCAATCAATCACATAAAATCATCATATAGCCGATAAAGTAGATGATTTATCCGTCTGGATGATCACCAACTTCAATCATATGCAACTTAGTATAATATGACCAGTATTAAAGCTCTTCTGTAAAAAATGAATTAAGAATTGAGGTTGTACACACAATATAAACATAATAAGAAATCTAAAAAGTTAATTCCTGAAAAATTTATGCAAAAAGCTATCTACCCTTAAAGATTCAAATGATGTAGCATGTGCTTCAAGATCTTGACTTCATTTTTCATATATATATATATATATATATATAAAAAAAAAAACAATTGCATATTTACCTTTAAAAAAAATTGGTTGCTACAAAAATAAAATAAAATAAATAAATAAATTTTTAAATTAATTGTCAAAAAAACCTATTTCAAGAATTAACAATTCGCTAAATAGAATTTAAAATAAACTGCTCATTAACATAGCAAAGGGAAAAAAGAAATTTATCAAAGAATTTCAATTATAACCATTAAATAACTTTTAAGAAACAAAAAAGACTAAACAACATAAGCATTGTGATATGCCATGTGGGAGAAAAGAATAAGCTAGAAATAGCACCATAAAAAGAATATCAAACTTATATTGGAAAATATAGCACATATGGATTTAGATTAGAAATTTGCCCAAAAGCTAATTAAATTTAGAGTAGTTCCTTCAATGCAAGTGTGAGGTAGAAACAGTATAATGATGTATACTCAAAATATGGTCTGGTATTAATACATGTATAGTATGTGCTTATGAGTTTGAAGGTCTTTGTATTTCTTTGCAAGACAATAATTATAGAAAAAAATTTGTGTTGTTTTTAACAAATACAAAATTTGTACAAATTACATTTAATTTGGATTTAAAACGGGTCATATTCTCTATTTGGATCTTTTGATTCTCTTCCTTGGTCGATTTATTTTCCGACTTGGATTTGAATGGCTCTTTGATCCAAAGGGATTTAGTATTCAATTTGGTTTTGCCGACTTTTAAAGGGTTTTGGTCTCCGTATGGGCGATTTTGATCATCGTCTTTGGATTTGATATCTTCTTTGGACGATCCGAATCTTTGATCTTTGAGGAGAAGGATTTGGTGCTCTATAAAGATTTTGGCGACGTATCCATTTGACTTTTGGATCAAAGAGGGCTGGGTTAATACTTTTGATGAAAAACGCGACAAACGTCTTGAAACTTTATGATGGACTTTGAAGGCTCTTCCTTGTCTTTGACAGATCCTTTAATGAGTTTTGGAGCTTTGATCCTTTCTCCGGCTTGAACATACGACGAAGAATATTAACTTCATCGATTTGTCAACCAATATTGGATCATTTGTCCAAATCAATGACTTTTCGACGAAGAACGCTTCGAAGGACACGAAAAATAATGAAAACATTGCAAAGTGTCTAGAATGACTTACCCTTGCGTGAGTCTTCAAAATGGACTTCGGTGTGTCAAATGAATTAACCAAGACTCCTATTTATAGGGAGGGGTGGCATTGGTTTTCTTTTTGGATGGTATCACATGACGCGATTTGATTGGCTGATGAGAAGATTTTGTAATCATTCATTTCTCGTCAAACGTCATTTTCCATTTTTGAAAGATTTGATTGCACACATTTCTTTCTCATAAATATTTTTATATTATTTTATTTCTCGAAAGATATTAATTATAATATTTTCTTTATTAACAAGATTTATTTAATTTATTGTCAAATTTATTATGGCTATATATATGCACATCATATTTGTACGATATCTTCCATTTTAAGCAGATTTTGCATTAATTGTTGATATATATTGTACAAAAATCAACATATATGTATAATTAAATATCATATATTTAGTTTATTGAAATTTTATTTTTTCTCCAAAATTGATTAGTAAATATTTTGAATTGGAATAACTATATAATTTGATATAAATAGGAGTTGACGTGATATTTTGAATGTAAAATTAATATTTTGTATAATATAAAATATAAAAAGTAGGTATTTGATTTGTTTTTTTTTTTAGTCCAGAAAAATGCAAATGGCGCATAGGTTGATGCAAACGGCATCGGCATGCAGAAGTCACCTAGACAAATGTAAAAGTCGTCCAAACTAACGCAAAAGTCACCCTGAGTTGATGTAGGCGTCGCCCGGACTAATGGCCGGGGTGCTCGGACAGATTGTAAGGGCGCCCAGATAAAGTGCACGCGTGTCAGACTTATTTCAAAAGATATTTTCCAAAAGAGTAAGGTATTTTCACATGGCTCGAGTATGTTTTCAAATATCTAAACGTGTGTTTAAAAGGAGTCTTGACATATCAAATAGTTTTTTGAAAGTATAGGAGTATTTTCATATTTTCAAAAGCCTGGACTTATTTTCAAAAATATTAGATAATGAAGGACACCTTTATTAAAAATATTATATTTATTATAAAATTTTGATCTAATTTAGAAAATTAGATGACATCCAAATTTAGATATAAAAAATAACTAAAAAATAATTATATTTATTTTTTATCGAAGAGTTACATTTCTTCGTATTGTTTCTCTTCATATTGTTAGTAGAATAAAATGTTGCGTCGATCCATAAGCACCATTTAAATTCTATAAATAGACATTCGTTTGAACTAAGAATTTTCCACTTACACATGCTAAGAGCTAGCTTGATCTAAAAGGTTATTAAGTTTTAATGTAAAATATTAAATTTAACAATTATTTTATTCAAAAAATAGATAAATAAACAAACCATAATTACTTAAATTTTTATTTATTATAGATCCATTTTATTGTATTATCGTTATTATTTCTTAAAAGTTCAATCCAATTAATACCAAACTAATCATTATACACTTACCGAGCAAAAAAGAACAAATATTTACTTTCCATGCTAATTTTCATTTGTAACCAAAGACAATTCTTTCAAAACACGAAAAGATAACGACAAAGCAAAGCTAGAAACCAGAAACAGTAAGAAAATATTGAAGTAGATGATGATGATGATGATGATGATGAATGATTAATATAATAAGATTCATACAACTACTGTCTCCTGTTGCAAAAAGACCGTGTATTTGTATCTCTCTTTATTGTCAAAACTAACTAGCTAAATCAGCATCCATCAAATATAATCACATTTTTTTTTTTTTTTGGTATCAATAAATAAGTTAGTAGACAGACAGCAACTGCATACATAATCATAGAATCGAATCGAATCAAATAAGTTACCCAGACCAGAAATGACTGACTGATTGACGGGCATTCTATGGTAACTTGTCATCAATTATTCATTCATTCTCACAAAAGGCCAGTTCATAGATTTGGCTGTAGTCTTCAACAAAGTGTACCTCAAGCCCTTCCTTCACATTAGGTGCCAGCTCATCGTAATCTCTTCGGTTCGCTGAAGGAAATACTATGGTCTTCACCTCACTACGCCTTGCAGCGATTGTCTTTTCCTTAACCTGATTCAATAAATAAATAAATAACATGTCACCAATCAACAAAACTAATCATCTTCTAATAACATGATGAAGAAAGAATAAAACAAAATCAGATTACCGGTAAAACAACAAAAGGGCAAGATAAAAGTTGAATAATACTAATAATATGAAAATGGTATGTACCCACCCCGCCAATAGGCAGAATTTTCCTTGTTAGCGTGACTTCTCCAGTCATGGCAAGATCCGTCTTGACAGGTTTGTTCATAGCAAGAGACAGCAAGGATGTGACCATGGTGCAGCCAGCACTAGGACCGTCCTTAGGAGTGGCGCCAGCAGGTACATGAAGATGAACCTTGGAATTGGCGAAGAATTGATTCTCAGGATCCTTCTCCAGCAAGATGGCTCTGGCAACAGTGTAGGCAATCTGAGCACTTTCCTTCATGACATCCCCCAGTTGTCCGGTGAGATTAATGGCCCCTTTGCCTTCACCTTGCTCCACCTGAGTGGTTTCTATGTAGAGTGTTGATCCACCCATTGCAGTCCAAGCAAGACCCATTACAACTCCAACTGGAGTTTGGTCATATATTCGCTCAGCATGAAAAACGGGCTTCCCAACATAGTCAGCAAGGTTGGATGAGTCAACTAAAACCTTCTCCACCTTTTTAGCAGCTTCGGTTGTCTGATTTTTCTCAGCTTCCAGGGTATCCTGCCAAAATGACATAGATAGTGAGAACATATTATAGCAAGAAGATTTGTTTCATCGGCAGAAAATATAAGAGATGTTGAATTTTGAATACCTTTGGTGTATCAGATTCATTAATAGAAGTTGAGGTTTGATCCACCGAAGCGTTAACTATTTCAGCCTCCACAGCATTTTCGGATTCCGTTTTGTCAGTGCTTCCATGTGCAGATTCAGCACCTGCAGACTCAAAAACCAATTCTGTTTTTACCTCGTCAGATTGGACCGTTGCTTCACCAACTGCAGGATCAGGATAAACTCCCTGACGCACAAGATGAAGAGCAATCTGACAGACATAGTAGGAACAGAATTGTTATCAAGTAATAAATTATTAATATTATTATATGATGCAAGAATCGAAATTTAGCAAGGGCAAGGAGATAATTGTACTCAAAAAAGAGTTGTCAAGATTGAGAAACCTTTCGATATATCTTCTCAATTTGCTTTTGAAGATTTCGAACCCCTGCCTCTCTGCAATAATTTTCGATCAAAGCCAGAATTGCAGCATCTGTGACCTCAACCTGGACCATTAAAAGATAATGAGCAAGCATAGCAGCAATACACATTTCCTAATTGAACTTGATCATATCGATAAATCAATTAATTGATCAACATTAAGCAGAATGTCTCCAATGTGTTGAACAAGGCTGAGCAGCAAAAGAAAGAGGGCACAAATACCAGTTCAGGCTTGATACCACATGCTTCTCGAGTAGTTTTCTCCAAGTAATCGCGTGCAATATGCAATTTTTCATCAGTAATATACCCAGCAATAGATATAACCTCCATTCTATCTAAAAGTGGGTTGGGTATCATTTCAACAACATTTGCTGTGCAGACAAACAAAACCTGCGAAGAGTAAGAACAAATCCCAGGATGTGCAGATTAGAAAGAGAATCAACAGAGGAAATCCAAATTCCAACCTGTGTAAAGGAACCGATATACATGGATTAACTTGAGACAAATATACAATCTCTGGAAACATAGTTCAACAAGGACGTCTATTATCAGGCCCAGTATCAGAAGCTTTTATATTTACAAACAGCGCGTACCATGACCGATGCAAGTTATAGGTAATATGGGAAGTCTTATTACTTTAATTTATTTTTATTTTTTTCCTCATGACAACTTATAGGCAGTCCAGATATAACCAGTATTTTCAAGCAGAGACTCCAGAACAACCTAGGAGTTGCAATTCTTTCATAACTTACAAACAAGTACCCCCATATCTATCGTCACTGAATAGGATATAACCTTCTGTAATACCATCTACCATAATATCAGCAACGTACAAACCTTGGACAAATCGATTGTAACATCAAGATAGTGGTCTAGAAAGTTCGCATTCTGCTCTGGGTCCAGGAGTTCCAACATTGCACTTGCAGGATCACCTGCATGTCCCCTTCCCAACTGATTACAGACAATCATTATTCAAGAATGTCATTAAAGCTGGTCGAATGAAATTAGTTATAAGAAACACTATGTTCCATATAAAAATAAAAAATAAAAATAACAAAAAAGAACCAGATATATACCTTGTCTATCTCATCAATCAGAACAAGAGGATTTGCAGTACCCACACTTTTCAAACACTGCACCATCTTCCCAGGCATAGCACCTATATAGGTCCGACGATGCCCCTGCAGTGTATTGCATTCAATAGTTACAAATGCATATCCCAATTACAAAGCTTCATCATTATCTTGTGCAAATTGAAATTTGAAAGGGAGAGGGTAAAAAAATAAAAACAACACCGTCTAGTTTGGAAATTGGGTCTATGATCACGAACTACCAACAGACTAAATAGTATTGTGCCCCTTTAAAATTTAGGTTTCAAGTAAAACCACCTAATAATAGATAAAATATAATAATGAAATTCAAAATAATCAGGTAATAACACTGTTACAGGTGTACCCTTTGTTTTATTGAATCAAATCTAATATATTACCAGAAATTTAAAAATATACTCCCTCCGTCCATTTTTTAATGTCCTAAGTGATATTTACACGTTTTTTTAGGTAATTAGTTTTTTGTTGTAAATTGACAAAATAGCTCTTTATTTTGTGTATAGATATAAAAAAGATAAATAAAGTAAGGGTAAAAAGGTAATTCTATGTATAAAACTAGAAATAGGACAATCATTTTTTGGCGTTCCAAATAGGAAAGTAGGACATTAGTTTGTGGACGGAGGGAGTATAACCTACCTTGATTTCAGCAACATCAGACAAACCTCCAACTGAAAACCGGTAAAATTTACGATTCAATGCCCGAGCAATGGAACGGCCAATGCTTGTCTTGCCCACTCCAGGAGGACCAGAGAGGCATATTATTTTCCCTTTAAGTGATTAAGGTAATCAAAGTAAGAGGTTAGTAACAAATATTGCAGATTTCCATTTTGCAAGCATGTACATCACCACATGTACTAACAGAAATATTCATGCAAGGATAAGAATAATAGCCAGGTGTTTATTAGATTGCATATCAAGCATGGCTAGCAAACCCATCATATCAAGAGAGCAGGAAAGCCAATTTCGACAGTGTCAGATACATTAGATCTTTTCATAATTACAATTACACATATGATGCAAACATAAGAAAAAAGAAACAACCACATACTGTCAAAGTTCAAGGCTATCCTAGAGCAAGTCTATTATTCAATCTATGTCAAGTAAGGTTTATGACCATTTTCTATTTTAAGGTAGAAATCACAAGTTCCTTGGTTCAAAGTTTGGTGGCATTTAAGAACCACAGAAAATCAAAGAAACAATAATATTCAAACACAAGAAAGTATGAACAATAAGCACTATTTTCAACATAAAATTCTCTTGGGTCCAAAAGTTGAAGAATTTTAAATATATATACACTCAGACACACACAAAAAAAAAAAAAAAAACATCTGAGTGAAAGATACCAAAAGAAGAATGGACCCAAATTCATCTTTATTTCCTATTAATTTTCTGTCTACAAAAATAAATAAATAAATAAGAAATATCAGGAAGAATAAAATAAAAAATATGATCTGAATCACCCAAATGTCTTTCTTGCATCAGTATTGTGTCCACATGAATAAAGGACACACTCATGCAACCAATATGGAAGGGATAGTTTTTAAGGCAGTAAACATCAGTAATAGAACTTCATTAGCAGAGTTGAAAACATTAAACATAGATTTCCAAAGCAGCTGCATGCCAAACCTTGTGATGTTCCTCTGAGTCTTCCAACCGCTATGAACTCCAATATCCTTTCTTTCACATCTGTCAACCCATAATGGTCTTCATCTAAAATTTTTTGGGCTTGAGTTACATCAAAGTTTTCATTGCTGAAAAATTAAGAAGATAAATAAATAAATACCAGGAATATCCGTAATTCATTATGCAGTCAACACTTCCTTAGCAGGCTATATTTAGGACCGCACAGAACCAGAAAATTGTTTGGTAGTGTTAGGCTCCATAAAATTTCACCCTTAAAAGTCCCAAATTGCCCGGGAAAAACTATCAACATTAGTTTTATGAGAGAAAAATATTACCAACACAAAGATAGGAAAACTGTCACCACACTAATCTTGCGGGGATAGGCTATCACATTCTCATTTAAGCCAACAAGCAACAAACTTACGAATCAATTCAAGTACCACAACTATTGAAATTTGTAAGGATGGAAGTAGCATCGGGTAAAATATATAAACACCAGGCAGAAGATAATGGAATTGCATACCTGTATTCTCCCCATGGTAAAGCAGTCAACCAATCAAGATAATTGCGTGTTACATTAAATTCACTTGAACTTGCTTCCAATAATTGCAATTTTGTTAGCTCCTCTTCTATGACTTGCAAAACATGAGCTGGGATTTTTTCTTTCTTTGGATCAATTCTCTCTCTGAACTTTGCTGCAGTGAATGGGAGAAGCAAACAATGAACAAGAAACATACTATATGACTAAGTATAACAATTCTAAAGGACTTGTAGTATGAAAATTGAAGAAGTCATATTGTACAGTATAAGCTACCCACATCAGCAAGAAAAATTTAGCTGCAATAGAGCCTTTATATCCGTATGTTAGCTTGTAAGACAAAAGTACATTAGAATATTTTCATCAGGTTCCTGATATGGAAAATCTGTTTTTCAAAGAATCCTGGAGTATGTATAACATAACTACATAATGATGCATCTAAAAAGAAAGTGATACAGTTGTCACAGCTCTCCAAGGACCACAAAATTCGTAGACAAAAGCACGCTCTAGTGGCAAAGTCTACACAACAGGATATAAAATCTTAAGCATATATTTCAAATGAATGTCACATCTTTAGCAGTTACAAGGGCAATATAAAAAGAAAAAATAAATAAACACAAGTAATCATGCTTCAACAAAAATTGTTGTAGTAAAAGCAATCTGGTGAAGGAAAGCATACCAGACAAAGCAGTTTTGTCATCAGTCTCCAATCCCAATTCCTGTGTTAACATAGATCAATTGTCAACCTAATTCCAAATCAAGGGCAACGCTAATCACAAGATAAAACAAACTGCTTCATGATCCAAGTAAGGTGAAATAACAATCAAATACTACTTACCTTCTTTATGGCTTTAAGTTGTTCATTCAACAAGTATCGACGTTGTTCGCCGCTTATCTTTTCTTCAATCGCCTTGGCTATAGATTCCTAAGTACAATCAAAAGCAGGGAAATTTGATCAATCATATATGAGGATATAAAGTTTTGAAATCTAGCAAATTATAAAAAACCACACCTGGATTTTGCTAATCTCCATCTCTTTCTTCACCAACTCCAAGGTGAGTTTTAGCCTTTTGTGCACCTGAATGTATAGAGATGTTGGCCTCAAATATGTGAAATCTATAGCACTTTCAGCCATCAAAGAAATTATTCAAATTGTAGCGATAAGGACATGCTGGAATGGAAAGCTTGAAGTAACTGTCCAACAGGCAATTAGTTGTTTTTTTCCCTCTAACCACCTCGAGAACACAAACATATTGGTAGTGATTTATTTTAAACCCAAAATGTGGGTACTTTATAGGTTTTTGATATGGTAAACAGGAATCTAGATTATTTGAAACCCTTCAACCAACTTTGGGAGCTTGTAAGAATTATAGTATGCTTCTGTCAATTAAGAATGTAAGTCCTTTTCACCTTGTTAAAAAGAGATCCTGAGCTCCATTTAGAAACCAATTGGCAATAAGAGGAGTTGTTCTTCAACCTTATAAACAAGGATGAAATCCATCTCAAAACTGAATCCTAACCGGAATCAATATCATACCCAACACAAGCACCTATGACTCTGATACCATGCTAAAAAGGAATTCGGGGGCTCCATCTCAAAACCAATTGTCCATGAAAGGAGTTGTCCTTCACCCTTATAAACAAAGAGAGCTCCCAACATCCATCCAATGCGGGACACTTAACACACCTTAATTCAGAAACTAATCTAGTAACAGGAAATAATAGACCAAGGGAAAAATATGCACTTGGAAAAGGAAGATACTTTGGTAATAGCAAGTCACCTAGTTTCCTTAACAGTGTGATAATAATAGGGTGTGTTTGTTTCTAAATTTTTGGTTGATTTCCACTATTTAAAAAAAAAAAATTCTCCAAAAACATCAAATCTAACACCTATTTTTTTCTTTTTATGTTATATTAAAAATCAATTTTGCATTGAAAATATCACATCAACGCCTATCCATATCACATCAAAAAACTAAACCAATTCAAAATTTTACTATTCAAATCAAAACCCAAAATCCAAACCACCAAACAAACACATAATGTGTCATAAACTACTTACATCAAGTTCTTCAAGCACTTGCTGGCATTGTGACTTGTTTGCACCAGATATTGCAGCCCCAAAATCTGCCACTCTTGGATATGTAAAATCACCTATATGCTGCACTCACAATGAGATGGAAATAAGCACTTCAGCCTAGTTTTATGCATGAATACACAACTTCTTTCTGTAGGAAGCACTAAACACCTAACTCAAGCACTAGATGGCTCTGTCAGCATGTACTATCTATCCCGTCACGAGCAAAAAACTTCATGGGATAAAAAACAGTGCAAGCAAATCCCCAAGATTGAAATATTAATAGTATCTTTTATAAGCATATTGACATCACATCAGATCTTTTCCAAACATAAATCAATTGGTCTACAAGTATAACTTGTTTTATTTGACATAAAATTATCCATAAAAAAACATGTAATGAAGGTTTATCAAAGGCTTCAAATGATCCTCAAATGGTCGCTTTCAAATCACTAACAATGCATTTCTACATATTCAAGAAAGATGCAAACACCTAAAGAGAGAGATATGATAAGACCTGGGTATAGGTTTGTGCATGATCTCGCCAGAGGTGGCTTGTCTTTAGCACATCTCTTAAAGTTGATATAACTTCAAATGATGTAGCCTTGAGAATGTCATCATCCTTATCATATGGTTTTTCCTGAAAAACAATGATCAAACATAGAAAGTCGAGGACAGTAATGCAAATCCACAGATAATGAAGGTACGAGGCGTATGAAAAAATATGCATACCTTGAGGTGATCAACCTTGACGGTTAGAGGATCTTCACCAACCTGCGTTATAAAATTGACTTAATTGATCCAAGTCTGCTTGATTAAATATCGATATAATGCTAAATATTTACAAATTAATGTATGGGGAAAAATTACATAATATAATCTTTCTGCAAACCAAAAAAAAACGAACCTGCCACTCACCATTTCCGTTATTCGAAGACGTCTGTGACCTATTAGAACAACTTGATCTCCTTGGATGCTTGTAATCTGCCTCATCAAGTCATTTGATAATTTTAAAGCATTTTTTTGTAAACTATTACATGAGAGCAGTAGAAAATGTTACCTGAGCTAGTGTACCAACTTCATGAAGGCGATTTAATAAATCTTTTCCTTTAAGATCATATATATTTTTCTCTATCTCTGAACCGTCAGTCCCTTCCTCATCTTTAACAAGGAAGGCACCAGTATAAGGGGCTTGCCTTTTTTTACTATCTTCTAAAGCTGCTCGCAATTTTTCATTCTGAAAAAATAATAAAATAAATTAAATTAAAAATAAAACCTAGAAATTCAGATTTGTGCCACCGGACCCGCCACAGAGCAGAAGCTTCTGTTACCTTAATCTATTACCAAGCAAAGAATAGACAGACATCTAATGTATAAAAAGATCCCATACATATCAAACTCAGAAACAGGAGACAATAGGAAACAAATAACTATGAAGCAACAACATATGTGCAGGAAAAGGTTGAATTTAGGGTCTGATATTGTACAGCATAACCAACAATGTATTCTATTACCAAACCATATGTATATTTATTGGACCAAAAAAGGGACGCCTGAGAAAAATCACAAGCACATAACTAATAATACTCCATAACAAAAAAAAAAACTATATGGAATTACCATAAATCAAATTCACCACTGTATGGAAGTGCAAAATTGTAAGAAGCCATACCTTAACATAAATTGGCATATAGAATCCAGGAAATAATGGTCTGTGTGTTAATGGCAATGCTATAACCTGTCCATTAAGAAAAAAAAAGAAACTAAGTCTCAAGACGCAGCACAAGCAAATAGAGACCAGAAAACACTGTTTGCGAAACTGGAAGTTGAGCTTTAATTAACCAAAACATGCACCTTTTGAAATAACTAAGAAGAAATTTAAATATACAACACAAATATAAAGCATACATTATCCTACTAGATGGAATAAATTCAGTCACTTGAAAAGGGGTTATAGGATGATATAGACTTAAAGATCTCATTCGATATTAAAAATATCCACATAGAGATACTAGGGTGATTAAGAAAATTACATGCATGTTCACATAAAATATGTACGAAATTTATTACTCTAGTCATCATTGATTTTCAAATCACTTAAAATAAGGTTTGTTGCTTGATATTTGACTATTCTTCACAAAATTATCATCTAACTAGAAAAATATAAAGAGATTATGCAAGCATATGGATAAAAACAACTTATTAACCTTCTATAGAATTAGAATTTTCTGAGATATCTACTGAAAACTTATAGTCATAGTATGAATCTTAATATTATAGAAATTTTCACGGAAGCTTTAGTTCAGTATGATTTGATGGTTGGTGAACAACTAAATTTTCAATTGGAAGTAAATAGGTATTCAAGCATATGTTTTGAATTAAAATAAATATTTATAGGTAATTTTCAATGAAAAATAGGCGGTAATTGTTAAGTGTAGGCTTCTTCAAAGGTAGTTACCCTACTTGTAAAAAGTGCCTCCTCATATTACAATAATAAGATAAATTCTTGGTTGCCCCTGTGGAATAGGTCGATAGCCCTTATCGGCCCGTAATCTTTTGTGTTATGTATTTTTTATTTGTGTGAGTTAATCTTAACAAATGGTATCAGAGCGACCTATTCACACGAGCCACAGACTTGTTTGTTCAAAACAGTCACCGCAGATAGTGAGAAAAGATTGTCAGAAATGTCAAAACGCACCAGACCAGTCAGCGTCAGACCTATCAGAACATGTCAGAACCGTCAGCATCAGACTTGTCAAAACAGTTCCACAGTATTCCCGGATCATCAGCAACACGCTGCAGATCCGACCCGACACACCCTGCAAACTGTTGAATTCACAGTTGCATGATTAAATCATGTATGGGGATGGAAAAACCAAAATTGTTAAATTTGATGGACAAGATTTCGGTTGGTGGAAGATGCAACTCGAGAATTTGCTTTTCCGGAAGGATCTGGATTTGCCCTTGACCAGAAGAAAATCCGAGAAGATAAACGCCAACAAATCCAACATTCTAAAGGAGAATATTGCATATGGGTTGATGAAAATGTTGACAACCATGTCTGATTCAAACAAGGTATTTCTGAAAAAATAGTTAGTGAATACCAAAAGGAAAGAAGATGCATATGTTACTTCGCATATAAATGAATTTAATACTATAATATCCCGGTTGTTGTCGGTGGATATTAAGTTTGACGGTGAAGTTCAGGCGTTGCTCTTGTTATTCTCATTACTTCAAAGTTGGTCAGGAACAGCCACAGCCGTTAGTAGTTCAGCTAGAACTTCTAAACTCGCCTTTAAAGGCATTTGTGACTTAATTATAGGAAAGGATATACGAAGACGAAATTCTGATGAAACTTCAAGCGCCTTGTTGAGCAATGAAATGAGAGGTAGAAAGAAAAAAAGAGAAGAGGAATGACAGAGGATGAACAAATTCCAGAAAGATGAGTCACTTATAGCCAAGAAAGGACATTCAATGTTGTAATTGCAAAAAGTATACTTTAGAAATAAGTGCACAAAACCGCCAGAAAAAAAGGAGGTGAATGTCACTAGACAGCTCAAACCATGCACTCATCTTCTGTGTTGAGAATTCAACCGAGTCGTGGATTATGGATTCGGGTGCATCATTCCATGCTACATTTAGCACGAAGACGATGAAGAATCTATGAACAGGTAACTTTGGTAAAGTTCGTTTGGCTAATAACGACTCTCTTGACATCACACGAATGGGTGACATAAATTTAAAGACCTTTTGAGGCACCATCTGGACGTTGAACAACGACAGGGTAATCCCTAATCTTAAGAAAATGCTCATTTCCATTTGGACGTTGGATGATCAGGGATATAATGTCATGTTTGGAGGAGGGCAATAGAGAGTTGTCAAAGGCTATCTCATAATCGTCGGTGATTTGGCCACATGAGCATAAAGGGAATAAAGATGTTTGTCGCCAGAGGAAAGCTTCTAAATCTAGAAAAGGTAGATTCCGACTTTTGTGAGCCCTACATGCTTGGCAAGAAAAAGAAAGACTATTTTGCAAAGACGGGGCAGACACTGAAAGCTCAGAAGTTGGAACTAGTTATGGTTCACTTTGATGTTTATGGACCAATACCAGTCTCTTCCTTTGACGGATCAAACTACTGTGTAACATTCACTGACGATTCAACACAAAAGGTGATCTATTTTCTTAAAAACAAGTCTGAAGTCTTTAGTACTTTTCAGAAATGGAAGATTGTTGTTGAATTAGAAACTAACTTGAAGGTGAAGTGCTTGAAATCGGATAATGGACGTGAATACAATAGCACAGAGTTCACCAAGTATTGTGTTGAACACGGGGTCCGGATGATCAAGACTGTCCTGAGCACTTCTACGCAGAACGGAGTGGCAGAAAGGATGAAGAGAACACTGAATGAGAGGGCCAAAGGCCTATGCAGTCAACACTGTTGTTTATCTTATCAACCGAGGACCGATGCAATCAACACTGATGCTTATTTTATCAACCGAAGACCATCAGTGCCATTGGGTTTAAAGATACTTTAAAAAGAGTGAAAAAGGGAAACAGTAAATATGAACACTTGAGAGTCTTCGAATGCAGTACTTATGATTTGACAAGAGATGGTGACAAGTTAGATATCAAAGCCAAAAAATACACCTTCAAGGGATATGAAGGAGACAACATTGCTACCGGCTTTGGGACTTTGAAAGCAGAAAGGTTGTCAGAAGCAAGCATGTGAGGTCTGAACTTCTCAAAGACAGAAGCACATAAAACTCAAAGGTTGCGAGAGAACAAGTCGAGTTTGACAGTGATGCTATTAGAACCGGAGAGTCGGTGGATCCTTAAAACAGTAGGAGTCAGAAGATTGAAACCAGTACTGACGAGTTTGAAGGAAATCAAAAGATTCTGTTCACACCAAAAGTTTAGAGGATGAAGGACCTCCGGGCTCCACCTTTACCGGTGCAACCGCGGCCTACCAAGTCACAGTAGGTCGGGAGATCCACTAGAGTCACCAAACCTCCAACGAGTTATGATCCTAGCGTCAACTATCTTCTTTTGACTAAAAGTGGTGAATCAAAAAGTTATCACGAAACAATCAAGCAAAAAGATTCATTTTAGTGGGAGCAGGCCATAAAAGAAAGATGAGTTCCTTGCATAAAAACAAGACCTGGATTTTGAGTAAACTTCATTTCGACAAGGAGTCACTTCAAAATACATAGGTATTCCAAATCAAGGATGAACATGATGGGTCAAAAATGTACAAAGCCGGCTTAGTGGTGAAAGGCTTTGTCACTTCTCCTGAGATAGCTATCTAAGCCGAGAAACACACCTTTGGGAAGCCACTTCAAGCTTACCAAAGATTAGTCTCTGAACAGACAAAGAAAAAGCATATATGGCTAAAGTTCCTTATGCATTTATAGTTGGCAGCCTCATGTATGCGATGGCGTACACGAGACCAAACATTACTCATGCAGTCGGGTTGTTAGTCGCTACATTTCAAATCCGGGGAAAAAACACTGGGATGCCATAAAAAAGATACTAAGGTATTTGAAGGGTACTTCCAAGTTGAAGTTTATGTTTCAGAGGCAAATATGTGATTTTCAGAGGGTATTTTGATGCTAATTTGGGTAGATGAAAAGAGACGCTTAAGAGCACTATACCTTCTTGGGAGAAACTGCAGTTAACTGGATGTCCAAACTTCAGAAAAGTTTGACACTTTCGACGACAGAAGCTAAGTATATGGAAATTGTTGTGGCTAGCAAAGAGTTAGTTTGGTTAAAGAACTTCCTCTTGGAGTTGGATAAAAGGCAGATAGATTAGTCATTACACTGTGACAATGAGAGTGCAATTAAACTTGTCAAGAATCCAGTCCATCATGGGAAAACGAAGCATATTGGGATGAGATATCACGATAAAGTTAAAGAACATCTCAGGCGCACGCTGGACAAGCTGAAATTATGCATGACTTCAGCTGGTCTTTATGAGAAATGATGAGAAGACCGGGGCAATCAAGTGAAGCTGGGGATTTTACGGCAGTACGGTCTCTAAATGGGAGATTGTTGAGTGTAGGCTTTCTTAGGGTAAGCTAACCCTAATGGGCTTATTGGAATTTTGGCCTAGACTAACCCTAATGTAGTCTATAATTCTATCTTTTGTACTTGGAAAAAAATGCCCATCCTCATATTACACTAATAAGATAAATTTTTGGTTACCCATGGACGTAGCTCGATAACCCTTCTCGGCCGAACCACGTAATCATTTGTGTTCTGTTTTTCTTATTTGTGTGTGTGTGAGTTAATCCAAACAATAATGTGATGTATCTAAGGAAGGAAAACTATGATAATTATTGCTATACACGTAAACCCACTACTAGTATATAATTTCAGCAAACTTCAAGTTGTCTTCAAATAAGATTGAAATCTGGGAAGTAGAAAAATTTTCCCACGGATGTTTCCCGTATCATAAGAGCTAATCAACAATCACTGTGTAGACAAAATACTCATACAGGGGAAGAAGAAACATGTGAAGTTAAATGGAGATAGATGAGTAACAAATGAATGGAAAAAAATCATGTATCTATAGTATATCTTGATAAAGCGCACGGAACAGATTCTTAACACCAGAAGACCATCTATAAAAATCCTCGGAATGCAGCCAACCCTCCACACAAACACTTTCAAAGACTGAATTTTTCTGAAAAAAAAAAAAAAAAAAAAAAACCAATGCAATTGATAAGGCCACTAAACTAAATTCCCCCGAAATCACTTACCGTTAAACAATCTTCGGGTCTAACCATAGTTGGCACAATTGCGGACGACGACTTGGAACCCGCTGCCTCATCGCCCTCCTCGACCCGTCTCGCTGATTCTACCGAATCGGACCCATCGGTCGAGTCGGAACAAAAGAACCTCCGTAAGGAATACCGGCTCGTATTATCCCGCGCTCGAGGAACACGGAACAATGGAGACGCGGGCACGGGCACATCAGCGAGGCGGAGTTGAGGCCGGAGCCAAGGGCGGGAATTGCACCTGGCGAGGACCTTCAACATTGGGGAAATAGAATAGGTGAGATAACAAACAGAAGATTGGGGATTTTGCGAAGGACTTAAAGGCAAGGAGTACAGAACGGCATGTAAAAGTAGTTTGAAGCTGCTTCGCTTCGATGATGCTTGGGGAAGAAGAAGCCGCAGACTGACTTTACGTTTCTCAGTTTTACTTCATTCTAACCCCTGCATAAACCCTTGCTCCGATTTCCTCTCTTTCAAGGGGTTATATCTATAATTTAGGAATTGTATCATATTATATTAATTATACTCCATTGAGTTTGTTTATTTTGTTTTCTTAATCTTACAATTATTTAGAAATATTATTTAAAAAAGAAATACACTATGGGTGTGAAAAAAATTCACATATTATTATTATTATTATTCTGTTTTTTAAAATAAAAATATTAAATTTCACATTAAAAACACATTATACAATTTAAAAATTTTACTATTCAAATATCAATTCAAATCTCAAATACACACGGATTTGTTTCTTTTGATTTGGTTTGAAAAATTTTGGTTTAGATTTGATATTAAATAATATATTCTAGAATATTTTATGAGAGAAAAAAAATATACTTTTTTCGAAAACGTAAAGTCCAAATAGTAAAATTATCGAATTTGGGTGGTAAAGAAACACACTCACTTTATCTATTTACAAAACAAAAAAAAGTCAATACTTTCCTACGATTCTTGTCTTTCATACATAGTTCGTCTAACATGACTTATTTTATCGAGCCTAATTTGCAAGTTATTAAGTTCGTCCGAAGATTTATTCAGAACTCATTTGTTTAGTAGCGACTGCAAGTTTTTACATTATAAAAATTAAAATTAAAATAATCAATAATTTAATATAAAATATGATTTTTTATATTACCAACATAATTTTTTATTCCTAACATAAAAAAAAATAAATAGTAAACGTCTTAGAAAACTATTTTGTAGTCCCGTATATAACCTCTTTTATCATTTTTAGGACATTTAAATGAACTATGTCTCAAAATAGTCTTGCAAGTAAAATTTTTTTATGCTAAAATGGTCATCCGATGTGGCGCTGACATGTCATCCGCGTCAGCGCCACATCAGCAACGACTTCCAGCGTTGCGAGTCCAGCACCGGGGGAATATTTTAGCGAAAATATTTTACTTACGGGACAAGTTCACTTAAAATCCTAAAATGATAAAAGAAAGTGAGATATGGAATTAAAAAAACAATTTACCTAAAAATAAATTCATCCAAAAATATATCTATTCACAATATTACCATATATATCAATATATACTCATTTCGTCATATTTCAAAGTTTTTTTTTTACTATTTTCGTATATCCTATTCAAAAGTATCAATTTCTATTTTTAATAAAAGTAATCATACAGTAATACCAAAATATTATTAATTTTTATCTAAATTACACACATATCATTACATGTACAATTACTTTATACAAAAAGTCAAAGGGCATAAATGTCAAATCTCTTATACATTTTCACTAATTAATAAAATATTATTATTTTTTAATCTATTACAAAACTCCAAAAGACCATTTGAAAGGGACGGAAGGAATATATAAATACAATACTAACTTTTAAGAAGTCTTAACTTTTTTTCAATTAGTACTCTCCCCGTTTCACCACAAATGACTTTTTTTTTTCCTTTTTACATATAGGATGTAATTAAATCTTTTTTATTGTTATCTCTCTCCTCAGTAAACAAATATTTTTATCTATATTTAAAATTCCTTATTTTTTACTCCCTCCGTCTCATCTAATTTGTTAACTCTTTCTATTTTTTTTCGTTCCACATAATTTGTCATTTCTTTTTTGGGAAATATAATTATATATTTTAATCACATTTTAAAATTCATAATTTATAATTTTTTTATTTTAATAAACTATTTAATCATCTTTAGCCTTCTCTGCAAGGTACTATCGTTAGCCCCTTCTCCATCGGTGATTCTTTTTTGCTACTATCAATTTTTTCATTAGTGATCATTAGCCTTCTTCAAGGTGATCCTTCGGTGATCTTTCGATGGTGATCCTTCGCTGGCAGGCATTATCAATTTCTCCATCGGTCATCTTTCGTCTTCTCCAGCGGTGATTTGGTTTGCCGCTTTCGCTGAGTCGGAATCGAAACAGCCTGGGCTGTTCCAATACTGCGCGAAATCGAGCATAAGGATTTTTTTGGGAGAAAGAAAAAAAATTTGGTGAGATAAGGAAGGAAGAAGAATAAGACGGGTAGGAGAGGAAAAGAAAAAGGAAAAACAGGTAGGGAAGAAGAAGAATAAGGCGGGACAATACCGTCGTAGTGTGATCGACTTTGCGCAGAGTGGGGAAGAAGCAAGATTCTTTTCCAAAATTCATTAAAAAATATATTTATATAAAATAAAATCTAATAATTTCAAAACTAATTATTATTTAAATTATACATTATATTACATTTATATTAATTTATATAGTTTAATATCAGTTTTTAAAAAGAAAACTAATACTAATTATAAATTTATTTATTTTTAGAAATTTTATACTCATTATAAAATTATTAAGATATTTCCAATCTATATTAATAATAAATGTATAGTCGATATTTGACCGATAACCGAAATGATATGTTGAGACATATTTGGAACGGTCAAGGCCGATTTACGACCACGATCCGTGATGGCAAACTATGGACACTATCAACTATTTCATCGGTACGATGGCCAAATAGCCAATTGATCCCAAGTTCTTGTGAATAACCAGATGCCCTAGAATCGAAAGTTTTGCCTGTCAACATCCAACCCCAACTCCCTCCGGAAACCCTGTCATCATTCTTAATTTTTCTTCCTCTTTTGTTTCTCATATCAATAGTAATAAAGGTAAACTATGTTGAGTTTCTCTCGTACGAATTGGACTTCGGGGTATCCTGTAAACACTAGAACTCACACAGAAAAGTTGATTAGCGGATAACGATATATGTTAAGCAAAATCAGAATGTAAAGAAGATAAATAGATAATCGATCAGATAGGCTCAAATTCACAGCCACTCCTTTCACCACCCCAAGTCGTCCAATGTTTCCGACTTCACACCGGATCAATTGTTGGTACGCAAAGTCAATCCGTCGAGGCAGAACGCTACACAGGGACAACCAGAAAAAGGGATTGTGACAAGAACCCACGAACAATATCATCAAAATACCCAATCACAAGTTTCTTTCTATTTTCACACCCCTGTAACACACCGAGCAACCTTATATTTATAGGTGTGAAGATATTGGATAAAATACTCCAATCTAGGGGAAGCCAAACTTACCTGATGCAGAGGCGACGAGGTAGGAATAACCAAGTTTGAATTTAGGCCAAAGAAGAGAAGAAATCACCCGTTGACTTCGGAACCGATTGAGAGAGAAGTGGGGAGAAATGGGTTCGAATGATTTGGGTCAGATTTGCTAAGCAAATCTGATTTTATCGGTTAGATTGGAAACGGGTACAGTTTGGGTCGGTTTGGGTCAGATCGGTAGGGCAGAAAACATACCAACAATCTCCACCTTGTTTCTAGTCGACCATCATGGTTACATTGGAGGGCAATTGAGAGTAGGAACATGTTATCATCATGGTCATTATTCTTGCAATCTCAACACGAAGTCAATCCAACATATATTAATCACAAAGAAATAATACATGCTATCAAAGAAGAACAAACATGGTTCTAATCAAATGTATCAAAATTTAACACATTTAAACATGACTGAAACTTAGAAACAGACAAGCATTTGGTTCCCATATCAGCAGAGTTAAATTGAGAAGGTATTTTTTCAAGCTTAACTAACCCTTTTGCAACTATGTCCCGTATAAAATGAAACCTAACATCTATGTGTTTTGCTCTATCATGAAAAATAGGATTCTTGCATAATTGGATTCCAGACTGACTATCAGAATAGACTGTCACATTGTCACGCAGTATTTCAATTTCAGAAAGCAAACCTTTTAGCCACAACATTTCCTTTAAAGCCTCAGTTATTGCAACATATTCTGATTCAGTAGTAGATAGGGCAACAATATGTTGGAGTAGGGATTTCCAACTTATACATGAGCCACACAAAGTAAACACATAAGATGTTGTAGATTTCCTACTGTTTCTATCGTTCGCATAGTTAGAATCCACATAACCTCTCAATTTTACTCCTTTAACACATTTTTCAAATTTTAGCCTTAGGTTACTAGAACCACATAAATATCTAAGTAGTCATTTAACTGCATTTGCTCAGTTGCAGGATTAGACATGAAACGACTCAAACAACTCACCGAATATGCAATATCAGGTCTCGTGCAAATCATCAAGTACATCATAGAGCCTATAGAATTCGAATATGACACATTTTTCATGTAATTCATATCAGATTCAGACTTAGGACATTGATCTTTACTTAGCACAAAATGAGAAGCTAAGGCACATTAGTTGACTTTGCATCAGACATATAGAATCGTTTCAGGACTTTCTCAATGTGTGCAAATTGATTTAACAAAAGTGTAAAAGCAGTCATATCTCTAATAATGTTCATACCAAGAATTTTCTTTGCATCACCCAAATATTTCATGCCAAACTGCTTGCTCAAAGAATCATTAACATGATTGATGGTATTCACACAATGACTGATCAATAACATGTCATCCACATAGATAAGTAAGAAAACATGAACATCATTTGATCTCATAAAATATAAGCAATGATCAAAATTACTTCTTGTGAATTTTAAAGATCTCATGCACTCATCAAACTTAATGTTTCACTGTCTAGGTGTTTGTTTCAAGCCATACAAAGATTTATTCAGTAGACACACATGATCAGGCTTACTTTTATTTACAAAACCATCATGTTGTTTCATGTAAATTTTCTCACTTAGATCACCATGTAGGAAAGCAATTTTAACATTTATTTGTTTTAGTTCCCAATTAAAGTGAGCAACTAAGACAAACATGATCCTAACATTAGTATATTTAACCACATGTGAGAAAATTTCAGTGTAATCAATTCCTTCTTTTTAGTGAATCATTTTGCTACCAACCTAGCTTTAAATCTAACATTATCATTTTCATTTTTGACTTTGAAAATCCATTTGCAGTCAACAATAGAACAATTAGTAGGCCTAGGAACAAGAATCCACGTATTGTTAACATGCAAGGAATTCATTTCATCATGCATTGCATTTAACCACTTTTCAGCAT